TGTTTTTTTTTTGTTTTTTGTTGGTTTTCCTATAAAGTAAAATGGATGCTGTAGTTTAACTAACTAGACCCTCACAACAAACCCGAGTGGAGTGCGAATTCCACACATGAACTTCTTGACAAGAAGAAATGTTAGCCAACATGTTTGTTTATACGGAAAATGAATGTCCTATTTTGGTCCAAAATTTCACGAGTAATGGTGGGCACTCCACGCCTTATTGGCTGTTGAGTTTGTCGCTCCTACTCGTCTATTGCAAAGTGAATAAGCGATTTATACTGAAACGGGTTGACCCGGTGTAGCAGAATCAGCCGAACAAAATATTCAGCTGGTTTCAGATGGGTCTCCTGTGAAGATCAAATTGCTACGCAAGTGAGTGTATTTGTCGAATTTCGTCCAGTTTAGGTTGACGGAAACTGGGATACTACGCCTATCTCATGAGCCCTAAGAAGGACGAAATCGGTCGTAAACTATCAATGATTTTCCGGCAACCTTGACTAATGTGGTACGTCCATACGGTTTATCCTTCTCCTCATTGGCGTTTTCACTTAGAAATTGATTACCTGCTTGTCTTATCGAGTGCAACAGTGGAATTTCCTTCTGCACCGTTTTCAGATTCTCTGCATTATACGCGCAATTCAGGCTCACGTTGATCGCTTCGTGTTTGAAGGGACTGAGATCGACTTGAACCCAAACTGTTACGTGTGTATTACGATGAATCCCGGGTACGCTGGACGTTCCGAACTTCCGGACAATCTGAAGGTATGCCAAGGTCACGGGCACATTACATTGTAGTACCGTCCGATTTTAAATAAACCAGGTTCTTTAGGTTTCATGTGCACAATATGAGGCCACTTATTAGCAGTTTTTCTATAGTGCACTAAAGCAGATGCCACGGCTTTTCGGGATGATGCTTTACCTACCAGAAGAATGAAGGTGAGGCATTCAGATTATAATTAACAACCACAGCTGTGACTTGAATCGGAACAGATTATCTGTGAGTCGGCTGGACTGATCTGTGATTACTTTAGTCGACTCATATGTCAAGATAAGACGTTTTGTTAAATTCCAATATGATCACGCTTTCTTTCCTCATTTTATGAAAGCCCGCATTAAAAGCCGTACTTAGGCCAGCCCATCCCAATACTCGGATATGCAATCTCCTGAATGTTCACTCTATGTTCCCAGAAGGCTACAAGAAAATAGTAAGAATACTAGCGCCTAGGGAGCACAAACGGTACATGCTCATCAGTTCTCAGCGGACATTGTGTGTAAAGGTGAAAGGTTAGTTTGATCAGTGATGCCCGAAAACAATGCCTGAAACTCGGACGGGATAATGAATGGCATCACTATCTCTTCACTCTTATTTCAGAGATAACACCTCGATCTTCTGTCAGATGCGGCTACCTAAACAGCCCTGCTTATATGCTGAAGCCATTAATTTGACTGTCACCCTTGCGTCGGCACAAGGGATACTCAACAACCAGACTGCCTGATACTGTCTGACGGAAACTGGCATCGTAAACTACTAAATTAACAGCCAGACTAAACAGCTGTGCAAATCAGGACGTGCTCCTTTGACCAACAGGTCACAGCTGCCAAGAAAAGACCGTAGGTTTACTGCCCCTATATCTGAAACATGAAGAATAAATGCGTCGTATGACCGGGCTTCTCAGGATCCGAACCCAGCTTAGTTGTGGCGATGCTCATCGCTTCGGGTCATCTGGGAGGATCGACTATTCAGATGAAACAAGGCCAACTGTTCGCCAATAATCAGGTTATATGGATAAGTTAAGTCACCCTAAGCTTCTCAGTAGTGCTCATCATCCCCTAGAGAGCAAAATGATTACTGCGTCCGAATGGATCAGTTTTCATTGTGAGATGCTCCTATTTGAAAAGTAGACAGAAGAGACCTAAGAAGTCCCCTGATGATAGCATCACTGTACATCTGTTTGTTCCCTGTGCACAGACTAGTCCTTCACTTGTTTATCTAGAATCCACATGCAAACTCATTAGAGGGACCGCTCACACCCCTAATTATTTACAGCACTTCGGATATTTTACTGACACAACATTTAGGGAGCTTAGATGTCACATTATAAACATAACAGAAGAATGGTAAATATCCAATACTCATTATACCTGACGCGCACCTTCACAGATTTTGAAATACAAACAGCTACCAGCTGTCTTGCTGTAAGAAACCTGATAACATCAGTGACACTAGCCATGGGAAGTAGTGTTGGTTTGCCGATAGAACTGCTCCGCAGGTTGATCCTATGATCATTTCAACCTTGCTCGCTTTTCTTCTTCCCCAATCAGATTCTCTTTCGTCCAGTAGCCATGATGGTCCCCGACTACGCGATGATTGGCGAGATTTCCCTCTACTCATACGGGTTCATGGATGCTCGCAGTTTGTCCGTAAAAATTGTGACTACCTACCGGTTGTGTTCTGAACAATTATCTTCACAGCCTCACTACGATTATGGCATGCGTGCGGTTAAAGCAGTTCTTTCTGCTGCTGGAAACTTGAAGCTGAAGTTTCCCGACGAGAACGAAAACATTTTGGTAAGCAGCCTGTGGATCGTTGTCCGAATCGTGGATCAAGAATTCAGGTATAACTGTTAACACTTACCCAATCATTCTTCTCAGTAGTAAGTAACCACTTTCCATTTTGTGACCACTATTAAATTGGCCCTGCATACTTGTTTCTTGAAGCCCTGGTGAGTCCCTATTCAGTCTTCAAAGGACGTGACCGAGGGTGACATTATGGTGAACCTTTATAAACAAGCTATGAATTAACTAGAGGAAAAAGCGGACACTGTCCTTTCCCGGAAAGAAATATTTTCACTAAATTATGTAACTATTCTGCCAGTGTATGGGGTTTTCTCCTGCGTAGTTGCTATATTCTGCCTGCTAGGCATAGTTTCTTTAGAAAAACTGCGTCAGCGGTGAAGCAACACAGCATGCGTTATGCAACAAGACGCTAACCACGTAGATTTTCTGCGGCTATGGATATCTTCAAGATTCAAACTGCTTACAACGCTTAATTTTTCCACGTAGGTAAAGTTGCTCTCAGCGGTTTTTAGTGAGGTCCATATTTTATTAGCATTCTACTGTTAATGGAACTTCTACCACTATTTGTGGTGTCCAGTGGACACGTCGATACTTATTGTATGTGCTAGTTATTCATGCAGTACTTCGTGTAATTTAACCGGTTCAAGGTTGGATAGTGTTACAGTCCCAGTCGTCACTTTCTGACTTTAGTGGGGGGAAACATTGGTGGAAAATAGTGTTGTCCTTTACGCAGATGTTTCTCCGATCAGCACCATGTGCACGTCATGCAGGTGGTATGGGGTGTGGTTTCACTCCACGGTTGCGTGGACGGCTTTTGATTGGGCTTTTGATTGATCATCAGCCTACTGGCCGGAGACTATCATTTTCGTTACCGTACTTTTTGGGGTCGCAAGTCTAAAGAGTATTTCACAAAACAGCACACATGTACCGATTTGCCGCTCGTGGCCGAACGGTTAAGTGATGGGGGCGAGATGGCTCAGATGGTTAGTTCCCGGATTTACTGACCGGAAGGTCCGTGGTTCGAGGCCGACCTCTGCTTCTCGACTTCCCCTTTCTCGGCTTGGCCAACCTGGAAGTATCCCAGCCCTTGTGCTTCCTTCGGAGTCATGGCAGTTAGGCACCGAAATGGTGCTACAGCTGGACGATTTCTACGGGTTCGACTTGTATGATTGAACACTACTCTGGAGAGGTCCAGGTTCGCTATGGGCTGACCAGGAGTGGTCAATCCAGAGATGGACAACCGTTCCTGTGGACAAATCCCAAGCTCTGATAATCATCCAGAACCGATGGTCAGAGTGCAACTGGGAGCAATGGGTTGAACAGAAGTACGGTGCTTTTAACGATTTTCTGTCCCTATGAAAAACAGCCCCTTGGGAGAGACAAGCTGTGCAAAGGGAGCAGTTCTAGTGAGTTCGTATAAAATGTCTCTCCGGGTTTACACAACAGTTACATGCTAGGTTTCCGACTGAGCCTACTACGACTGATTTGTGATACATTGCTACAAACCTAAAATTGAGGTCTATCATGATCACTTCCTAGGTTTATCCTTTATGTACAATCTTCAATATGGTGAATTCCAGCAGTATAAAGCTGTTATCTGAGTCATCCTAAACTTGTTTTGTTCATTAGTTCTGTTTTCCTATACACGCAACCTCTTGATCTCCCTCCAAAAATTTGCACAGCTTTTGCGCTCAATCCAAGATGTGAACTTGCCGAAATTTTTGGCCCACGATTTGCCCCTATTTCGTGGTATCATTTCCGACCTTTTCCCTGGCGTCGTGCTACCCGAAGCGGACTACACAGTTTTCTTGACTGAAGCAGAACAAGTTGCAAGGGAGCACAACCTTCAAGCAGTTCCATTCTTCAAGGAAAAGTTAATACAAACATACGAAATGATGATTGTACGGCACGGGTAAGTCACTGCAACCTTGACTCAATCAGCTCTATGATTGATGATATTCGTAAACTTTGAAGTTCGGTTTTTTCCGTGGAATAAACACGAGTCATATGGACGCATCCTGTGCTGTTTCTCTTTCTTCTGCCTCAATACCTCATTCTTTGCCAAATGTCATTCACAAGCCGATTTTCATCCACTTCAAAAACAAAAGTCTGCGTGAAGGCCCCCCAGAAATCTGTGCGCTTTTCCATAGGTCAACCACATGCCTGAAATACCTCTTTCACTCGAATGCTGGCGCAGTCAAGCCCTCAAGGCTTGACTGCATGTCCTACATTCCCCTTGTCCGTTTATGGAAACTGTAGCGGCTGGAACCAACGTGCCTATGGTACAGGTTTATAGCTGATAAATTGAATTCAGTTGAATTGAATCGAATAATCTGTTGGACTAACGGTAGCAGCTTCTGGAACAAAACAGTGAATTCCACGTAACTGATAGCAATACCGGTAATTTTGTGATACGATTTTACTTCGTCCGCTCTCCTTTAGGTTATAGCCAAACTCGGATGACTCTTCTACGTAATAGCTCAGCTGACCTAACTTTTGATGCAGATGACTAATTTCAAAGAATTGCTAAGTGGGCCAAACCCCGTGGTCCGAAACCACAGTGATCGTTGTTGCGAGACCTTCTGTAGAGAACGCGTAGGAAGAGATATAGCAAGAATAATCTCGAAAATGCAACAAAAGAAATTTCAAGGCTACATAACCTTCGAAAGCGAAAGCAACAAAGCATGGATTGCATCAAGCATCAGCCCAATTCACAAGCCTTTTTGTAGGACGTGAGAGAAAGATCAACTCAAAGGACGGCAACCTGATGATCCCTATGTCAATGTGAAAGACAAAATCGATTTGCAAATACCATTACGACGGAACTATCATCAAATTCGCAGGAAACGTTTTCGCTGGCCTTCTAATTAAGTGCCGCGCATCGGACCGAATCAAGGGTAATTCTATAGACCAAACGTTGATGTGTTTTCGAACATCACTTCACACTTAAGCAGTCCTTAGTTATTGCCTAACTGGCATTCACGCTGTCTTTGAGTCTGTGAACCAAGAATCACAGGTAAATTATGCTGGCAGACATTGATTTAACCAAGCCAATCAACTGAGTGTGACCCCAGTATGTTCACACCAAGCTTCATGTGCTTTTCTGCAGACTAACCTTTAGAAGTGAGTACGGAAACTAGTTCGTCACTGTTCAACGCTGCCACATCCTGGATCATACACCAAACACTGACTAGCTATTCTGGAGTCCAAATGAGTTCACATATGCAGGTAACCGACTTTGTATGTGCTGACGACAGAAGCTAGTCAGCAACATTGATCAGTTCGCTCCCAGAACTGAATTGGAAATCAACGTTGCAAGATTTAAAATCTTCTCATCTTTCACAGTTTCAAATCCTCAACTGCCGCAAGAAGAGGGTCGGATAGTTGCCTCTTAGTGGAAGGTATGCTACAGAGACAATTAGAATTCAAACTAAAATCTAAGGCCCGCATTTACCATTGTATCATTCGTCCACTTCTCCTGTAGTGTTAGGAGGCCCCAACCTTAGAAGCCCATGGTTGACTGATGCCCGATGTTTGTCATCAGTGATACTTCTGGAGGGTATTATCTATTACCTGTGATAGTCCTTTATCCAGTATTTCGAGCGTCCAACGGTTCTGTGGTACGGTGAAGCCGAGCACAGTAACCCAACTTTCCTGAAACCTGAATTCCTATCACATCCTACAGAAGTCACCCGCCGGACAAAAGAAAGGTTAGATTCCAGGATATTAGCCCAGGATACCTTAAGCCTACCGAGACCCTTAAACTTCACTAACCACCGATCAGACAGCCTTGGACCGAGGTCAGACTGTGCTCCCTGAATATATAGCACGAGGCAGTTGTACTTTTCGCACGCACTCACTTGTTTGTAACAAAGCTGTTGTGTCCCTTGTCGGCTCGTTTTTTTCGGCACTAGGCCCTAAAGCGGGGATAGAAGTCAGATACATCACAAGTGTTTTCAGCTTTGTCAGGATGTGACTTCCGATGTCGACCTGGTAAACGAGGCACGTCCATGCTCCGAAAAATTAAAGCTCACATCGATTAGTGGAGTATCCACCATGTTCAGGACGTGCACCAGTGCAACGCATTCGTATATGTATCGATTTAACTTCAGGCTACCGTGCTTGGGTTGTTGCAATCTAGGACACCAGTGTAAACGGTCATCCGTACATCGGAAGCAGATACCGATATAGTCTGGTTACTAGTGGAAGTTGAACTACCTGACTTCCAGTGGACTTCCTCCCTGAAAAATAGGCACTCTCAAAGCTGTTCATTATTCTACGGTATTTTTGTCTACGAGAAATCCAAATGGAGCCATTTCATTTCTCCTCCACCTTTATCTCTTCAGCTTCATGCTCGTCGGTGAGCCATTCGGATCGAAAACAACGGTGCTACATACTTTAGCTGAAGTGATGACGCGATTGAATGAAAGCGGTCATGAGGAGTACGAGAAGGTTCTCTTCAAAACAATCAATCCAAAATCTATCACAATGGGCCAACTTTTCGGTGAATTCGATCCAGTTTCACATGAGGTGAGTTCGATCTTTTTCGCTGTGGTTAAACTTTGCTAAGAAAGTCTGAACTTTGGTGGTAAATTTGCTAAACTTCCTATTACTAAGGGTCTGTTATTGAATTTTTAAAATGTCCAAGTTGCGGAACCTGTCAGGAAAGCTGTGTAGACGTAAGCAAGGGTCACCCTTCTCGCTGACTACTCACCAAAGAGGATCCACACCCCAAGGAGCCCGCTGACATTCGAGATAACTGAGAACCAACGCTATTTTTATCCATTTCAGTGGACCGATGGCGTCACCGCAAATACCTTTCGAGAATTCGCATCAAATGACACGCCGGACCGGAAGTGGGTGGTCTTTGATGGGCCAGTCGATACACTGTGGATTGAAAGTATGAATACCGTACTGGACGACAACAAAAAACTCTGCCTAATGTCTGGAGAAATCATCCAGATGTCACGAGTTATGAGTTTGATATTCGAAACCATGGATTTGTCTCAGGCTTCGGTAAGTCCCTTAAATGTGTTTCTGTATTACCACTGAAGAGTTGTCTAGTAGCAAACAAACTTTCATTTTTAGGCTGCGAACCAAGGAAAGTTGTCTGTCATCATTTGCCAACTTAGAAATGTTTTACGAAAACCCCTGGATGAGTCGAACTTAACTCAAGAATGGTTCCTGCCACACAGATCGACAGAACGTCTAGAACACAAGTACCCAGCTTATTCCTTCGTTTTTTACCAACACATTTCCTGGCAAGCATATCCGAAAGTAGAAGAGCATATGTGGGCACAACATCAGAGTCTTATGAGTCTACGCGAGCCGGTTTTTGCTCACCACAATGGGCAGATGGCTGATGATGTCATTGGGCTGACCACTAACCGTTTGCAACAACGTTACCAGTCCTGGAGGACGAACTGTTCATTTACACCCGAATGGCTTTCGTTTTACCGGTCCTCCGCTTAGTTTCTTCTATGATATAATGCGGAACAATAAAATATCTTTACGAAAGTCTGCCGCGTGTGGAATAGCACTGTAGTGAGCCGAAGAAATGAACTTTGAGAAGCACCAAATGTTCATTTGAACAGAAATGTGGGTACATAAAAAACGTCAAAAGCTGGGGAAATCATAATAAACACAAGTGAAGGCCAGTACAGAGACGGATTCAAATAGTACTACATCAGGGACATTACTCCGCGTATACATCCGATAAATTGTATCACATACCAATATCAGTACTGTGATGCTTAGGTTTTTTCACTATTATCCGAAACCTATGAGATTCACATATCTGCACTGCAGGAAATTTTGATAAAACAATCTAGTCTCCTCAACCACGCTCGTTAGAATATCTTCATTGCACTAAAGGATCTAAACGAATTGACTCCCATGGCACCTAACCAACGTCGTCTAACTGTGCAGACAGAAAAAAACAGAAGTACCACGAGGGGTTAAGTATTCGTCCGAACGCCAGCACAGCGTGTACATAATGATAAAAGTACTTCTCGTACGTTCTGGTATCAGCAGTAGCCAAGTGGGAGATTTTTTCCCATATTTATTCATCCGGTGCCTACAGATCAAAAGATCAAGGTAGGTCCGTTGCAAAAACAACAGATTTTCACATAATGAGGTCTGGACTTGAGGGCGTGGTGTGCTCTGATGACTAACTGTTAACCAACTAAACTTTGGTCATAGTTTTCGTCGAATTGCTGATCCGGTAATCATACGTACACAACCAGCCCTAATGTGGCAAGATAACAAGAGGCACCGAGCACAAGTCTTTAGCAGCAGGTCGTATCGCCTCCGCTGCACTCTGGACCTAATCATTGTTGACGGTTCAGTGGCCATGTGGAAAATGATGCCCTGAGTCCATAAGGCTTGCTATGTGAGTTTTGCCTGCACTCTGGACCTAATCATTGTTGACGGTTCAGTGGCCATGTGGAAAATGATGCCCTGAGTCCATAAGGTTTGCTATGGTGAGTTTTGCTTGTCACCTAGCCAATCGAGAGGCGCTTTGCTTACGCAAAGTTCCTGTCGTTATACCGAGCTGATGCGTTTTACAAGAAGAAACAAATCTTGGCACGCAAAACGATGGGCAAGGAAGTTGATCTTCCAAGCCTCACTGACCGGCAAAATTTAAACGTAGTTCTTGGAAAAGTTTGGTAACCATCGCCAGATTTATTGTTGGGCAACTTTTCGCTTTTGACACAAAAGCTTCGTCACTCTGAGTGACTAAGTTACGAGATTTAAGGTAGAAGAAGCAATCAGCTAAGTCTAGCTCAATCTGTGTTAGGTGTCAGCCGAGGATGTGCCAGGGTGGGTGGTCAAGTGTTAGGCCAAGGGGAACCTACATGGATTTGGGTCCAGCCTAGGGTTCTTCTGTTTGGTTCATAAGATGATCCATCTTGATTGTCGTTTGCACTTTTCGTCCGGCTGTGTGGATGAGTTAGTGCTACGATGGTTGTGTAAGGAAGAAGGATTCAGTGAACTTTGGTCGAAATGGGATTTGCAACCTCCCCTGTTTTTCCTAATGATTTCACGTGTATTGACAACCACACACAGTCACGTGTCAACTCGGCTTATCTAAGACCGCTTTCCATACGCTCGCCAGTTCCACACCCTCGATTCTGTCCACGCTGTGATGCTTGATAATTTCCACCGCCTCGGCTATCAGCCGCTTTGGTGTGAATCCCAGTCCCCGTGGAAGTTTTGTGTCCAAAGCGAAACGTTGCCCAGCAATAAATCTGCTGACTGTTACCAAACTTGTCCAAAAACGCTAACTACCCAGTCGGTTCCAAGCATTTTTCAAATGACGTTCGTTCGCGAACACTGTACACCTAAACGGTACATTTAGTTTAGCTTGGCTCCATGGCAGGAGGAACTTCATGGCGCACTCGCATTGATAACATCCCAGAACGCGATCATGCATGCTATTGTCTGATGAATAGTAAGACGATATTCATCTTCTCCTGGAAATATGTCGATTGTGCGGATCTTCCACGTCCAGAAGTTATACGATGGACGAATCACTTGTTGAATTGACTGTCATACACTTACCTAGAAACCGTTTCGTTCTTTCTTTGTAACTGAAACAAACTTTTTTGCTTCAAATAATGATGTAGTGGTTGACGTTTTGTCCGCCAAGTTGAAGTCCAGCTGCCATGTTCGGCGAACAAACCAGCAACCAAGCAGCGCAACCGATCCACTCATATTTCGCAACATTGTCGGCATGCAGTGGCACCATTCTGATATTTGTTCTTTTTACTGTTCACTATTCATAGCCTGCTACAGTTTCCCGTTGCGGCATGATATACATGGAGCCGATGTCCCTTGGCTGGCGGCCGCTTGCCCGTTCCTGGCTCAACAGTCTTCCCCAAGTCTTGGTGGCCGGTGATGGTCGAGAAACGATCAATGCTTTACTGGACTGGCTTATCGACCCATGCTTAGAATTCATACGTCTCAACTGTCGATCCATGGTGTCCACACGTCAGGCTAATCTGGTCACTTCATGTCTGGGGTTTGTGAACATGTTAATTGACGTACACGCGCAACAAGAAGACGCATCAGAAAATCGTTACCTCCGTCTTTGGACGTGCACCGCCTTCATATTTGGGGTCGTTTGGGGTTTGGGCGGATGCTTGGACCTGAGTGGCCGTCAAAGGTTTGACCAATTTCTACGAGCTGTGATGCTAGGTCAAGATGAGCGTTATCCAGTGCCGAAAGAACTGGGACCCCGGATCGAATTCCCTATGCCAGAGGGCGGTCTGGTCTACGACTATTATTACGAGGTCAGCTTGTACTTACAGCACTGTAGTAAAAAAATAAATTTCCAATAAATTCACGATTTTCATTATGTCCCTATCTCCATACGTATGTTTCACCTAGTAGCTGCTTTTTTGATTGAACATCTCTATTTGAAACTTCTTATAACGTGTAGGTCCTACAGTCGAGTTGAGATCAGAATTACATGCTGACCAGTTTACTCAATCGCAGCAACGGTCCGACTCAGTTGCTTTTTGACGTATCCTATTACCTTTTCTAGCAATGGTTACTCTTTCAGTATCAAGATGTGTGCATCAGGATCATGGATACTCACCAATACTTCTAATTTGGTTGTTCCACAAAGTGATTAGGGAATCCCAGACCAGCTGCTTCCGACTGAGACCGGTCTCTTCTGCACAAGTGTCATTTCCGTAGTTATTTTAGTACTGACATTGTTAAAGCTCTGAGAATGATAACTGTTTAAGTTAAGTAGAAGTAAACCTGAAGCCACTTAAGCCGGTTACTGCTATTTATCTCACCCTACCCCGCAGCTCTTCTCATTCGAATGGAGCGCTGAGTAAATGCGTTGAAGTCAAGTACTGCCGTTTTTTGTCTGATACAACTCTCATTGAGTTTGAAGCCGTCTAGGCATGTACAACACTGCAATACTAAACGACATGACTGACTCTGGAGTGAATGTCCCATTGTTGGACGAATTATTGTTAATGTTACGGCTCATTGTTATGACTTAGGATGGTCCAACGGGACAAGACAGCAGATCGTGTCTTTCGTGTCGCCAACCGCCTCACCGCATAACTATCTCCCAGTAACCAGATTTCAATCCGCAGGCAGTTACTGGCTTGATCAGCAAACAAAAGTAAAAAGATCCGCTTCTTCAACAGGATTGGGTGATGGCCTTAAAACTGAGGCAAAAAGTATCGGCCAGAATGCTATCCATACTTTTGTCAAAAGTATGACCTAGCGACTTACAGAGTTTTCATGGGAAATGGCTAAAAGATACCATGAAGGCCTACCTCGACTGCACGGCCCAATAAATCCAAGACCCCCATTTGCCACTTTCTGGCGGTTTCAAGTCCATTCCTCACTGCATTATTCTTTAATTCTGGGTTTATTTTGTGATTGTACGCATCATTCGGTAACCCGTTTCATTTCTACAGTTTTATAGTTTCCTTGAGAGGTTTGGTTGCCTAGATTCAATGTAACGATCTGTAGTCGATGTCGCATCCGGATCATCAATGCTGAGCGCAGTTTTCAGTTGCCCTTAATAACTTCTCAGAGATAAAATGCAGCCTTTTCTCGATTAATCCCACAGTTGAACTAGGCCATTCGAGGAAAATGTGTATGATAGGTGGAGTTTCCTGGGCGAACCACTCCACATATTGTTTCTCTCCATTTCACTCCCCCTCCGCACACACCTTACAGTACAAAAGTCGCGGGTCATGGAAACACTGGAATGAACGCAACAAAAACATTGACCTCTCAACCAACCGAAATATTCGCGAAATGATTGTTCCAACAATGGATACGGCTCGTTATAAGTATATCATCCAACTTTGTTTAGACAATGGTCGTCGTCTCATGTTTATTGGACCAACCGGTACAGGGAAATCCGCATACGTACAAGAAAAACTGATGCGTGAGCTGGACACCGAAAAATTCGTGGCCTATTTCATGAACTTTTCTGCTCAGACAAGTGCGAATCAGACACAAGTGAGTTTTCTCTTTCTTCTCATCTTGTTAGTCAGTGAACGATTCATATTGTTCACTATGGGATACCGACCGTATTTCAATGTAAGACATGAGTGCTGTTCGTTGCTGTTGCAGTTTTACGTGTAAATTTCCAACTTCTCTCGTGCGTTGGTTTGATTGGATTCACTCGGCCTGTTGAGTCCGAAGGCACATAGTGCACAAGCGGATCGCAGCCCCAATTCAGCTCGAAGCAATCTGAAAAACAAACGCTTCCTATGGATTAGATTTAGGTTTTGTGTGTTGCGAATCAACTGGGTTAGTCTAAAATGGTGGTTATTCTCCGAAAGTAAGTAAGATTTGATCAGCGATTGATTCCGCCTTGAGGAAAAACTATACGCAACGACAAATTTTCAGTAAAGGCAAGCTAATGTGATGTGATCATAGGGATAGACGCATGAAAACATAGGCACTCATTCTCTTGCCGTTAACGGTTAGATAGTGGTACCATAGTACATGGACTAGAGAGCACTCACGTACCCTTATGCTGTGAGAGCTCGAGACAGCTCAGTGGTTAGGGCATGAGCCTACTGACCAGAGGGTCCGCAATTAGAAAGCAACCACTGCATCTTGATTACCGCTGTCAAGGTTTGGGTAACCTAGCAGCATCTCAACCCTCGTGTTTTTTCCCGGTTGCATAGCTGATAGGGGTGACAAGATAGCTGTCATGGATCTGCAGCCGTACAAGTGGGTGGATTGTAAATAAAGCATGTCAATTTCACTTCCTCATCTAAGCAACTTGGTAACATCATTGTTGCATGTGACCGGTCTGTTTGTTGCGCATGTTTCAGAATCAGTATGTCATCCTCTAACAGTAGTCTAATACTAGTCTACAAAACACTCGTTTAAGAAAAGCGTCTAGGCGTTTGCTGGTTACACACCTAGTTTAATACATTGGCTGCTACCTAACCCCGTATTCGTATTCCCGCTACAATGCCTTCGTTACAGATTAAGAGGTAGAGGAGAACACTAAACTCGAACCGCCTGTAACGCTCCGCGTGGCACATTCATCATCATCAACACCAGTAATAAATACTAGTGCTTGACTGTCACACGGTCATGAAGAGTGGGAGGAAAGGGGAGGCGGAGACTTAATACGAACAGCCTTGTTTGCCTATGGAAACCTTCAAGAACGAGAGGTTTGTGACTTGGAACAGCAACGACAGAAATGAATCTGGGTCTCACATTGAGGTGAGACCCCATCAGTGAAGTTGATCCAACATCTGTGAACTTCACTCAAAAAGAATAGATCAGACAAAATGGGACAAACTTTTGCTGGACATTCCGTTCACGAAGTGACAGCATGCTTGTCATTGGGATTGGTTACGTGCCATGTCTTGTAGGGCCTCTAACCACGTACAAGGAAAATTACATACAATCCCAGCAGGAAGGCGCAAAGGCCCCATTGATTTTGACGGTAGCCACCCTTATTTCGCGAGTTCCTCTGTAAACGATGGTCAAGCATGCGTGTTACATTCCCCTAGCACATCCACCTGATTAGTTTTATTGGCTTTCTGCTTCGCCACCCATTACTCGCTTACTTACCATTTCATAGCGTACATGTTGCAGGCAGCTGAATCCTTCTTTGCTACGAAAGTACCGATCACCGAAGCTTTTCGTGAGTTAAAGGTCTTCAGATGGCAGAGCCACGTTTCAGAACTACAGAACAATACTGTTCTTACTGTTTCCTTGTACACACGAGTTTTTAGCATCCATGAAGTTTGTTTGTGACGCCATAACTGATGCGACTGCACAACTGTTGCACACACCTCGACAAGGCGTATATTGACTTCTGTCACATTACACTCACGGCTAATTTTGCTACCCAGATGTTTGAACTGATAAACGAGTTCAAGTTCCTCTGCACGGAATTTCAAAGAGATACAGATGGGTTCAAAATCCTGAAGCAAAACTTTTTACTTTGAAGGTTCAAAATGCATACCGTAACTAATCAGAGTAGACCGTGCGGCCCGATGATCTTCAAATAATTATGACTTCATCCTCATAGTTCAGGTCTGCTAGTATTTCTTTAGATGTAATTTTAACATCACGAGCCTCAACGCTTTGAGACCTGTATTTCGTGATAATATCGACAACAAAACTGAATAGAAAGGAAGAGAAAGGATATCCTTATCGAAACTCACTAATCCTAGGAAAACTTCCGAACAGTTTGTTACGCGGGACTAGAGAACATTCCTGTTCGACCAAGTACCTGCAGAAGAACCAACCTACCTACGGAGCCAGAAGTCTAAAAAACGCAGTTGTTAGGCTGATGTATTTGTTGGGCTGTTCAAGCATTGGGCGACAAAATGAAACCCTGCTTGAGGTCCTACACACAGGGGACTTATGCGCGGCGGTTATATCGAAGTCAGTGGCCGCATTATGACAGGCTCCAGGCTAACACATCTACAGTTAGAACGGTCGTTTCTTCTGTCTTTCTTGGACGTAGTTCTGACGACCGATTGGTCCCAATTGTTCTTTTCCCCAAATAAATGCAAGCAATTTGGTTAAGGCAAAACACAAGGCTGCACCATCCACTTTAGACAGAGCTGGTGGAAGCTCATTCGGCAGGCCGATGGTTTTTCATCGTAGAAAGACATCTCATTACTTAATCAACTGGGTGAGGATCACAGCTTACAGACCATTGCTTAGATTGAACGTGTTGAGTGTGAGACATATGTACAGACTAGACGTCCAACATGATATTTGTTCAGCTCACCAACAGACGGTGTCCTGGGTACTATTTTAAGGAAATTAGATATAGATTATGTAGCCTCACAGACTTGTGGTACGTAATTTTTTGCACCACAGTGTAATTCCAGATTTTTCACCGAGTCACTTATTGTGCAGTTAGATGTTTCCCCAACAGGGCCGACTTCTAACAGCAGCTGCTAACCTCACCATTCTTGCAGATGATCCTGATGTCAAAGGTTGATCGAAGGCGCAAGGGTATTTATGGCCCACCGGTTGGAAAAACCGCTTTGTTTTTCGTCGATGATTTGAATATGCCAGCAAAAGAAGAATATGGTGCACAACCACCGGTCGAACTCCTACGTATGCTCGTGGATCATGGCTACTGGTATGCTGCTATATACACACATATATATGCTATGTATGCATATATTATTAAAATGAATTCAATTTGGTCACAGATTGCTGATTTAAAGACTTACACCTTTCCCCCTCACAGTTTCTTTCCTATCTAGGTGACATGCTAGTTGATAAGTTGTTTTTCGGATACTTCTAAGTCATTCGATTTACTCTTCCAGGGTAAAAGAAATTAACCGAAATCAGTGCTAGGTGTTCATCCCATATCTCACGATTCGTGCTATAAGAGGTTTGTTTGTCTTCAAACTGTGGACGTTGTTTGATGTGCCTTTCCACCCATTTTTTTTGTCAGCTCAGTCTTAGTTTTTTTTGAGCACGATAGGGTCTAAATTAACTCAGCTCCTGGAAACGAAAGCTCCCGTGAATATGAAAAGCGAAATACTGTTTTACCTACAGTAAACAGTTGGTGTTTCGAGTTCTAACTAAGAAGGTCGTCTAAGTGCAGATTAATATCGTCTTTCTCTGACAGAAGACCCTCATCCTATCATCTGATTCCGTTCCTCAGGTACGATCTGAAGGATACGACAAAACTTATATTACAAGATATCAATCTCATTACTGCAATGGGACCCCCGGGTGGAGGAAGAAATGATGTAACGCAACGTTTTCTACGTCATTTCCATATGGTCAGCATGACTCCTTTTAACGATGAAACCATGTACCGAATCTTCTCGACTTTGATGTTGACCTACATGAGGGTTAGTTTTTGTTTCGATATGCAACTAATTACTGGTAATTGGCTTTACATGTTGGTATACTTCATCTATATTTCATATGAGTGGTTTATCATGAGGACTTTAATGGACGTCCACCCGACTGGGCAGGAACGGAGGCAACCTGTGTATCACAGCATTACTGTCAATAAAGAACTGAGCCATCCTCGGCTGGTGATTATCTGATCAATTTATCCTCATTCTTGCTCAACAGTAGAGGTATATATGGGATAAAGAGCACTCAGTGTGTCCAAACCAAGTGTTACTGAAAAGCATCCACTGGTCGGTGCGATGTTGTATTATAATTTGCATTACTATCAGCTCTAGCGTTTGACCTAAACGCACCAGCAAGACGTGCCCCTGATAAACTGCGGCATCTTATATCAGAGTTCCCGCCATCACCACTTTACCTAAACCGTTCATGATGTAGAGCGGTCTGGTTGGCTCTTGTCATTGAATGAGAATCAGTCGCCAATACCACGAGTAAAGAGAAGGCACGAAACCGGCTATATACGGGTAATTAATGCAGCAGGGAAGACGCACCTCTGGAACCAAAACCGGCGCAGCCGATTCAGAATCGCCTGAACTTCGCTTTTGATATCTATGGATAGCAAAGGTACCACGGGTTCAATCGCCCAACTTGGAAATTGTATTTCAGTTTCAGAAACACAGAATCCTCCTATCGATAAGGTACCAACACTGTGTGCTAGGACAGCTTATTAGCTGATTTGTCTTGGTTCACACATAAGGAGGAGCAATAGAATCAGGAGAATGTGACCTGAACCGTCTACTCATAGCTGTAGTGGCGGACTAAAATACTCAGCTCCTTAGGTTCTTGACTGACTTACCTATAACTTGGACTTATAGAGGAGTGATTGATGATTGAAGCAGGAAAAGAGCTAAACGGCGGTAATGAAGAAGGCTGGGAACAACAGCAAGCTCAGGTTTTCCCCTATCCACATTTTTGTACGCAGTAAATAAGGTGAGTCGACTGGTTTCATCACCTTAAGGTCGATGGGACTCATAGTTACTTTTTTATGTACTTTATGAATATATGTGGGATGAAGTACTACCAGGGTACTGAAACTTGTACACGAGGACATCTGAGGTCCTCTACCAAAGCCTTTGGTTCAAAGACTTGAAAACAAAACAACCATAGCTGGTCAAACCCCACCAGAGTGGTCCAACTGGTAAGGAGCATAGGTATCCTCCAGTATAATTTATTGGGGGTCTGGGGTAGGCTAACCATCGCACTAAGATAAGCCCCAGCAACGGCGTTTAAGGTCTGGCTTTACACGGTCATATTTGCATATACACGTGGCTTTAATCATTGAACTTGATGGGATGGTAGATAAACAGCACATAAATGGACAGCTGCTTCAGTTACGCTGCACTGAATCGACTATGTTTAACAGGTCGTAACTTACTAGACTTTAACCGCCGCTGGAACCATCTTGCATCACATTTGATCTATCTTTGTTCGCTATTCACAGGTACAAGAATTCAGTTCCGAGTACATCAGCATGGGACAGGTGATGGTTAACTCCACCCTGGAAGTGTACAAAGCGGCAATGGAAAACCTGCTGCCGACACCTGCCAAGTCACACTATCTGTTCAATCTGCGTGATTTCAGTCGCGTTATTCTCGGCATCTGTCTGATTAAAAAGGATCGAGTTGAAGACAAAAAGACCTTCGCTCGTCTTTGGACTCATGAAGTCATGCGTGTCTACTACGATCGTCTGACCGACGATCCCGATCGTAACTGGCTGTTTAAGTAAGTCTGATAGTGTTTGAGGATACTCAATTAGGTGTCATACTTTTACACAATAGTAGATGGCTTAAGGCAAATATCTTCCCCGACCCCTTGATCCGAAGCATGGGTGGTAGAAGAAATGACGGTCATGATATTGAGCCAGCATTATTAAAAGTGCAGCTCTAGGGGGTTACCACATTCTAAAAAAAACTTTCCCCATCCTGTTCTCATCGCTTATCTTTCCCCTTTATCAGCTTTATCAAAAACGTTTTGGTCGACAATTTCAAGGAGAAAATCGATCTTCTTTTCGCCCACTTGACAAAAGGCAATGGCGAGCCGGTAAGTAATTCCAGAATTTCGGGATGTGCTTCATCAACATCACCATCACCATTAGCTGTAAAAACCTCCCATTTATGCACTGTTTATAGCTGGCGCAGTGTTGTTCACCAATGATTTGGGGAGGTAGGGTAGATAGCTGCACATTGCAGGTGGCAGCTGAAATCTTTGATGCGTAAATGCAGGGCTGGGAGAGGGGAGACTGGGAGAGGAGTTATGCATTGAAGGCTTGGATGCATGATCGCCACTGAGGGCGCGATTGGGCTATGACTGCTACTGTCTCTAACCGCTGATGTATCCGGTCTCGGGGTCCCCATCCAGGGAGACGACAATGACCGGCGCAGCTGAATTTGCTGGTAATGGCTTTCAGACTTCGCAGTCAAGCCATTATTTGACTCCCACTGGCTAGTTCCAACCTTTCGCGTGGTTGTGCGAAAAGAAACTTTCGAGAAAGTCGGTGGACTGGCATACGAGCAGGTAGCCAAGCCAGCGCAACCTGTGGAGTGTGATCAGTTCATCTGTCGAGGGTAAGTTATTTCTCCCGAATACCATTCGGCGTACGTCAGCGTTGCTTATACGATGTCTCCACCAGACTCGGACAATGCTCCGAAGACATCGACGGTCAAACGCTGAAAGTCTTCGGGCGTCCTCGGCGCGCAGCGACCAGGTTTCTAATCAATCAGTCCATCAAAGCCCGTCCAGCTCTACAAGTCATCGCTTCTGGGTCACCGGACATACAGAGGGGCAATGTAAAAGAACTGAGTTCGTACTTGGCATTCTGAGATGCATAACGACGCTTGAGTCTTGTATGCGTGTTTCGGAAACACATAACGCATCAATTTTAAGGGAGCATAAGTTCTCAGCGAGCATCGCCTGTTTGCCGATTTGACATAGATTATGGACGCTAGGAGCTCCTATGTACAGAGGATCTCATCGGTTTACCAAGCTGTCATTTTGTTTATTGTTAATTGTTAGCAAGGTGCATAAAGCACTCATCAACATTAGCTTGTGTGGTTGGAAAGGGGTTTGGGGGGATATCAATGGACAAAGAACTGTGCGGACAAATGATACTTCCCGGTCCCCCGGGCCGAAGAAGGGGGTTTGGTTGAGGTACCCCACCTTGAGCCTTTGACTCAACAGTCTGACGACGAACCACCTCGGAGACCCTGTTCCTAGCCTCTGGCTCAAAAGTGTGACCCACAAACCAATGGTAGTATGCAGGATTTTGTTCAGGGACCCTGCCGGGAGCCGATAACTCAGTCTGACCTACTCGGCTGCAAGGGATTGCCTGTTTGGGTGGGTGCCTGTTTTGGGTGGGGGGGGGTGGGCTGAGGGTTGGATGTGTTTATCTCGTAAAGGAGCCTTATTAGAAGAACAATTCTCTCATCTGCTTGATACACCTAAGTTATACTGCTACTCACCACAATAGTGTCCTCGTTACCTTGGACAAACGATTTGTTGCATCACTCATTTAACTGTCATTACATCGATAACCGTCGCCACTGTTCACTTCTGCACGCTTCTACATGTTTTATTCCATGTTCTTTTTTCGGTCACATTGCAGTACAGTGTTTCTCGTCATTCTGAAGACCGTGTATCCCTTTCGATGTATTGTGAATGGAGTTCCGTATATATGCCCAAGGAGAATAAACCTCAACGAGAACATGATCAAGTTACTCGTTTAAAGCCTACGTCAACTTACAGGAACCTCATGTTAGTTTTTTCTGGGTCAGTAACAGGAAACGTGGAAAGGTACTTGAAAGCATGTGAAGCACACAGCTTTTGCCTTAAATTATTTCTACTACTCTGCTTAGGTCTGTAAATGACTTTGAAAACTCAACTTGCACAGGTACGTGGAAACCAAAGGAAGCAATCCTTTTACGACTTTGCGGCAGAGAACGAAATTCCTGATTTTTCTAAACAAAAACCAGTGTCTAAGTTACCAATTTGCATACGAACGAAACGCTGACTACCCACAGCTCCCCACTGGGCAAACCACCAGTGATTTGGTCCCGATAAGTAGGGTTAGTTAACTCGTGGCAAAATCGGCTCTGGTTTCCTAAAATTTTCCTGGGCCACTTGCAGATGGGATGTGGTAACTCCCCACATAAGTGGGATTGAATGACAACTTTGGCAAAACTTCTTGTGGGGTTTTTGTGTGTTCTGAGATTTTCTCTCTTTGCTTGGATCATTCCGTTACAGAAATGCTTGGATAGCTCAAACCATTTTCCCCACAAGATTTTTTGCATACTAAAAGGTTTGGTAGTAGGGAAATACTGTACGGGGACAGCCAAACTTGTGCACATACACTGCTACGTCAAAGATACTCGAATAAAATTTACTACACATGGACTTCCTGGAGTAATGGAATCCGCAAGCTTTGGGCATGGGGATTCATCGACTTTCGTGTGGACTGGAGCTACTGAGGAGAACGTACTAGACAAAAACTGAGTACACAGATTCGGATGTCGGCAAATTTAAATCACTAACTGAGGAGATTGTTGGTAGATCAGGTAGCGTAAATGGTCGTAGTGCAACTCAACAACGTGTTGATGATGATGACGTCACCACAACTGGCAATGAAACGTTTGCAATCAGATTGCCCAACTCAACGTACAAGCAAACCACCAAAGCTAGATCGACTGCTCATAAATTTGCTCTCAATATTTTGCCGGAAAGGTATGATGTGTCCCTTTTCTTCTGTATCTAGAGCACTGTCTGTATCGAGCTTATCAGCTCTGTGTATCGGGCCCCAAACCATCTACCCTGGCCATTGAAAGAATTTTTATCAAATACCAAGGCAACAAACCAATAAGGTCACCGCGCGCCTATCAGATTTAGTGCTTATGCATTGCAAAGTCACGATCGACATCTTATGGCATCCGAAAGTGCCATTTTATTTTCATTATGACAAAAAGAAATAGAGTAATTTCGGGGAAAAAATTCGTGATTAAATACGCTGTGGTCTTTAGATGGAAATTTGGAACGTATTTCGGAAAATGTTAACGGCCTGAACTGGTAACCAAAATTACAACCCACTGAAGGGAGACGCACTGTGTCACTTGACGTCCATGGGCTACACAAACTACACATGTCTTAATGAGCCTGACTGCTCATTTTGCACTACAGAATCTACACCTAGCTGGCATCTCTCTCCCATAGGTCGAAGAAAAACACCTTAGAAGTCTTCTGTTCGGGGACTTTATGGATACGGATTCCTTACCCGAAGATCGAGCCTATGAAGAGATCAAGGAAATTTCGGCTGTCTATCCTGTGATTGAGCAGTGCCTAGAAGACTATAATCAGGCAAACAAAAAGAAAATGCCGCTTGTTATTTTCAGGTATGTGATGCAAGCGTTAGAAGAACCTATTTCTGTCCACTGCATTGTCCAATTTAGACACCACGCACTGTCTATTCAAACAGTAACAGTACAATTCTGAAGCCTGCTGAATAAGTGTTAGCTTAGTGTAGAGCTGCCCGCCGGGGTTATTCTACGAATTTCTTTGCAGAACTGAGCTGTCTGAGTTGAAATACATCCTGATTTATCTGCTGACATGAAGACGAATTTGATTGGTGAATCAGCGCAGTGAACATCACTTGCTAACATCACTTACTCACCCGAAAATGGCAACCGTAATGCTTTGAAACAGGTGATCCGGAACTGGGGTAGCAGAACGAGGGTATCCGCCTCTGCTCCTTACTCGTGAAGGGTTGGATGTGTGTGTGTGTGTCTGACCTGTGTGACCTGTCCTGGCATTTTGGTCACTTTGGTCAACTGTCTGTGTTTGACTTAAGCCACGAAAGGTTGCAGTCAAGTGCCGGTAGTTGTTTCCTGTCACCCGTATCAGGATTAACCTTCTGTTATTGAATAAACTTGATTTTTCAAGTTTTGAAGATTTATACAATGACGTTAGCTGTTAGAAACCAGATAATTCTGGTTCCGTAATTTTCACAATCAGGTATGTGGTCGAACACCTTTCACGCATTTGTCGAATCCTCCGCGTGCCAGGAGGTAACGCACTCCTTGTCGGGGTGGGTGGCTCGGGCAGGCAGTCACTCACTCGACTAGCCGCAGCAATGGCCGGATATAGCATATTCCAGCCAGAAATTTCAAAGAACTACGGTAAAGCAGAATGGCGGGAAGACATCAAAGTGAGTGAATATCAACGCAACTGAAATAAAATTGTATGAATTTGATATATTTACCCTTTCTGTGCCTAACTGACACGTCACACGAAGGTTGCACGAGGGCTGGGCTACTGCCAGGTTGCCCAAGCCTGGACAGGGGAAGTCGAGAGGCGGAGGTCGGGTTCGAACCATGGACCTTCCGGTCAGTCTATTCGCGCTCTAACAACTTGGGTCATCTGGCCCAGACAAAGTGGTTCTGACAACTAACAACATCAGAACAGCTTAACACTGTATCGTTGCTTATTCAGAGTTATCTGTGATCCGCATTTCATGAATTTTGATGTTAATGTAACCTCTAGTAATATCAGCAATATTAGCAATATCAAGCAACCGCCAATCCCAGAGTATGTTGGATATCCGCACTGCTGAAGACGAAACTAGCAAACCCACCAGGCTGATGTTCGAATGAATGCCGGTGAATGTAGTCTGGTACGATCCAATCCTCCTCAACTGCGGTCCGTTTGGATAGAATACTGGCTTTGTTGGACACAAGTGGTGTGCTATACGAGGGATCGCGCGTGGATGCCACCCTTATTCCCCCGGCAGTGTCCACATCACCATGGACTTCTAACGCAATCATCTTCCCAGAATAATAACAGCTGATCGCCGCTGACTCACGGGAATCGACGACCCTATCATTGTCCATGGACACACTCTCGAAAGAAGGCTTGGTGCTCACAGGTGTTTTGTCCGAGAACTTAGTGACGTCACATCCCACGAACATCGGACGCACATCGCCAAAGGCTGTGTACACCTTGACAACAAATACTCAGAAATTATTTGAAAAAGGCGCAGTTACTAGATGCATTACATTTCACGAGTGTAAATTATGAACGTCACCGAAATAGTTGACGCCCAGACTTCAGGCAACTCTTCATCCCGACCAGCTTAGCAACTCTCAAAGTGCACAAAGTAAGACTAGGCAAGAAAGCTGGTATGGTCGGGGTGTACAAAAAAACTCCAGCTCTTGATAGAACATGTTAGGGGTAGAACACAAGGTTGATGGAAACTCGGGGACTGCGCCTACCTGATGAGCCCCAAGAAGGGCGAAACCGGTCGTGGGCTGTCGAAGCGTTTTCAGCAACCTTGTGAGTAGTTTCCTTTATGTTAGGAGTACGTTTGCTGACGCGCTTAGCTGGTGATTTCCTAAGATGTCGACTGATACAAACACTTTTAGTTGCTGATAATTGCTGGACTCGTATAATTCACGTTCACATCACTCTCGTTTGAAAGGCCATCATCATGTAATGGCGCAATTGTTCTTCTGAGTTCACACCAAAAGGAGGGAACACTGGGTGAATTCTACAAATCTCTCAACCAGCTGAAACCGTTCAGAAATTGTCCAGCAGTTTTCATGCTATGCTGCATAATTTTCGCTGGTTCACCACCACATCCAGAGTTTTTGTAACATAGACACACCCCTCCTGATAACCTCCACATTCGACTAACTGGGGACGGGTTGCTCACAGGTTTGTTGGTCTCCCATTCATAATTATTGAGGATTGCACTGTCTCCGACGGAACTTGCAACAATTTCAACGTAAGTTCACTTCCCTTAAATCGGGAACAAGAATGTCCATTTGGCAGGTCTTTCTAATTGGAATCAGGCATCCTATATTAAAAGTGTTCGATATCTTGGCATGCTGAATTAGCGGTGTACTAGGGCAGGATACCTATTGTATCAATATACCACCAGATACGTTGGTGCTGTAGAGGGTTACTTATTAACAGTTACTGATTTTTCGGGTTGTCTAGAAGAGCGTTTGGAGGCGTAGTTACTTCACAATTCCTGTGGCGCGTTAGAGTCGGGTGATCAATCCACAAGCAAGTAAGTGAGCCAGAGCATAGTCCTGCTGTGCATCTCGCTGTAATAACATACCGATGAACTTTCGTACTTTCGTATTCAAGGGTGCGGAACTATCACATGTGTGGTATAGGCGCTTTGTGCCCTGTCCAGCATAATGTGAATTCACCCGCACAAACCAGCTTAGTGCTGAGTACCTAGTGAATGCGAATAGCAAGTTTCTAGTTTCTGACGGATATCAGAAAGACTACCTTGTGAGCTTGTAGTTGTTTTGCATTGATACGACTAAAGTGATCTTTAGGAAGTTTGATAGGGCCTCTTTGGACCCAACAAACGAGCACTGATTACATGGAAGGAGTCAGTTTTACTGTCCTCGTAATTCTAGGCGCACAGTGTACTCAAAGTTACTCGTCTGAAATAACTGAACACCATCTAATGCCAATTACCCAGTGATATAAATTTCGCTTGAATGCACCCACCATTTCTGCCCTCTTCTAATTCTCGGCCAGATCCTCCTCAAACGAGCCGGCGGTGAAGGCAAACCGACGGTGTTCCTCATGACAGATACACAAATTAAAGAAGAGTCATTTCTAGAAGATATTGATAACCTACTGAACTCTGGAGAAGTGCCCAACCTTTACAGTTCGGAAGAGAAAGCTGAAGTTATGGATATGGTTCAGACTGCTCAAGAGGCTGCTTCCGGTGTAGGACAGTCAGCAGATTTATCTCCGCTGGCGCTGTACGCTCTTTTCGTAAACCGATGCAAGGAGAAACTCCACGTGGTCATGGCATTCTCACCGATCGGAGAGGCGTTTCGAAACCGACTAAGACAATTTCCCGCTTTAATTAACTGCTGCACCCTTCATGAAAATACACTGCAATACCTCCAATATCGTGCCAACTGAATCATGAGGCGGCCTGTGGGCAGCACCTTCAGTTGTAGAATATCATAAACGAGAGATTCAATTGAGTCTCCCGTGAAAACCAAATTGATTTGCAAATGAATGTATTTCTCGAAAACATATTTTTACTTTGTGTGGTGGTTGTATCGTATGCAGCTGCAGCCTTAGCCAACTGTCTGCATATTAAAAACAATCACTCCGGTTACTTACCGCGATTGAGAAAACGTGACAATTAGTGGTTATGCCCACTAATCACCATTAAACTCTCAAAAAAAGGTCGATCCCTTGGAAAATGTTTGCGACCGATTGGGAAGTCATCGTTTCAGATGTTTGATAAACAATCGGTGGATTTATTGCCGGGCAGTGTTTCACTTTTGACACAAAAGCTTCGTCAGGCCAATTGAGTACGTAAGTAAGTTGATTGGGTTTTAAGGCAGTCAGGGAAGCAATCCGCAAGATTTCTTATGACTAGCCGACTTGATCAGTGCTGGGTGTTCAGTCTGATGTCCTGTTCGTTGGTTAGTGGGGATGACTAACATTTACGATAGATTGGTTAGGAGGAGGATATGTCAACCGCTCATTACTTGCCACCTGATTTTCCTCTTTACTTTACTTTACTTTACTTGATTTTCCTCTTTTTTCGAAATAGCCCTGGCCAGAAGATGCACTGGAGAGAGTTGCCCACAAAGCCTTGCAGCACCTGGATATGGATGACGAAGTGAGAAACGTGACGGTCCATTTGTTCAAGTATTTCCACACCTCCATAACTTCACTAGCTGATAAATTCTTGCGACGCCTTGGAAGAAAAACCTACGTGACGCCAACCTCATACCTGGAACTGATCGACAGCTTCCAACGGTTGTTAACACAAAAACAGAATGAAATAAGTCGAGCAAGGACGCGGTGAGTGAGCATTATCTATGGGCGTGGGTTGCACATCTGTGAAGAAAACCAATACAGCCTAATACATTATCTAATCTACTGACTATACGAATCGCTGAACCAGAAATCATACTGGATTCAAACTGAACAGCTCAGAAAGGTGATACTTTAAAACCCGTCCTGAAAATGCTAACCTTATCGGGCCCAATAAAAAGTAAAAACCCCAACTACGCATTACCTTCTGATGATACATTGCGTTTATTCATTATAGAGGTGGATAAAGGTACCCTACTGACATATTTTTTTCGTAAAAAACAGTCGTGTTTTCGGTGACAAGCAGTTCCGTGGAGGCTATCGCTCAGGTAGCATAAACGACGTAGCTACGGCTTGTCATGTTAGGTGTTTTTGATTGGTGAAATGCGGGCCTCAGCGATTGAAGCTAGACGATATGGACTACAATCGATACATTCACTACAGATTCGCTTCAAACAACGAGACATGACAATAATCTGTGAGCGCATAATTGGATCTCCAATACAAGGGAACCACCAACTGAATCACCTTTTAGAAAAGAACGCAGTTCCCTTTTTAGGACAGACACCTTGCGAGGGGACTGAAGAGAGCCGACGAATTACTAACTTCTAAGATGAAAACTTCTCCCTACTTCCCATTGGGTTAATTCCACTATCTTGTTCATTTTTTTACGTTAATGGGCACACGATGAAAGCTCATATACTAATGGTATCTTTCGTTTAAAACTCGTGATCTGTTGAACTAGCTGTATTTCACATATAAACCGATGTCGTGAAACTTATCTTGTCTTAGCATATATTTCAGGATATCGATTTTCCTGGTCGGAATTTCAGCTTGGTTATTGGATGTCTGCGAATGTACCAGGTCTTTTCTACTACGATTCCGCAACTCCATGACTAAGTAGTAATACCTGTGTCGTCATTAGGTGAGTATGTCGGACATTGTCCGCTCTCCACCTAAGTCAGACAAGCTTACTGGACTTACATTAGGGACCATGTGGATCGTCTCACTAAACGATGTAGAACAATAATTGCGTTTGGGAAGTGAAAAATAGTTTGTAAAGCTTAATAGAGTGCATGCTATGCTATCCTTCTTTGCGTAGCTTAAAACGGTACACGCACAGAAGCTTCCATTTTTTAGTTTGAGTAGTTTTTATAGTCAAATCTTGCTTAGAAGACGCACGCACCTAAGTCAACCCGACATGTTCGGAATTTGTCACAAAACACCACATCATTATTTCTCATCTTGGCTTGTTTTAATAAAGCTATGTGAACGGCTTGGACAAGTTGGCGTTTGCCTCTACTCAGGTAGCTGATATGCAAGTCAAACTTGAGGAACTCCAACCACAACTCGTTGAAGCCAGTGCAGAAAACGAGAGCCTACTCATCGTCATTGCCACGGAATCCGTGGCAGTCGAAGAACAACGAGTCAAGGTCAAAGCAGAGGAAGAGATTGTCAATCAGAAAGCGGACGCTTCAAAGGCACTGAGTGAAGAATGCCGGGCTGACCTAGCTGAAGCACAGCCAGCGTTGGACGCCGCTCTCTGTGCACTGGACACATTAAAACCGGCAGATATTACAATTGTGAAGTCAATGAAGAATCCTCCTACCGGAGTCAAGCTGGTCATGGAAGCTGTATGCGTAATGCGCGATATCAAACCGGATAAGGTAAACGATCCCGCTGGGTCCGGGAAAAAGATCAATGACTACTGGGGTCCGTCCAAAAAGCTTTTGGGTGAAATGAACTTTTTGGCCTCGTTGCGTGAGTTCGACAAGGACAATATCAATCCAGCCGTGAGTCATTTGTGATCCCTTCCATCGTTAATGAGGCTAAAGCTTCCTATGTCCAATACTATGGTGAACAGAGGGCATAAGTGCACTATGAACTTACTCCTATAGACCACAGATTAATTATTTCTGGCACTAACCATCATGATCCTGTTAGATGGCATCATCCTGATAGCTAAGATTGCGGCAATGGTAGCTGATCAGGTTAGTGGTAATAGCACAGTTGCAAAAAGCCTGCTGGTGCAAGTTATCACCACTAACTCTCGTAACTATACTTCATCCAGGCATGTAACTGGTTACTTAAACCGAGATTAGTGATCTGGAATGCAGCTCAGACCTATTCAAATAAGCATACGTTATCCATGTCATTTTTGCATTTCAGATTATGCAACGTATCAGAAAAGAATACATCGTCAATCCGGACTTCGATCCTGCTCAGGTTGCCCGTGCAAGCTCTGCTGCAGAAGGTCTTTGTAAGTGGATCATGGCTATGGAGCAGTACGACCGAGTCGCCAAGATTGTCGCACCTAAGAGGGCTAAGCTTGCGGAAGCTGAGGCCGAATTGGCGGAAAATATGGCCGCTTTGAAAAAGACGCAGGCAGCGTTGCACGAAGTGGAAGAAAAACTAGAAAACTTGCAGAATCAGCTGCAAGCCACGCAAGACGAGAAACAACGTCTTGAAGAAGAGGTGTTGTTGTGCGCTACTAAGCTGGAGCGAGCCAAAAAACTTATCGGTGGTCTTGGTGGTGAAAAAGACCGATGGAGTCAGGCGGCGGACCACCTCCTTCAAGTGTACAGTAATCTAACGGGAGATATCCTGGTTTCGGCTGGAGTTATTGCTTACCTAGGGCCATTCACATCGGTCTTTCGAGAGGAATGTATACACGACTGGATCCGATTATGTACCGAGTACAAGATTACCTGTTCCGAAAACTTTTCCCTTACAAACTGCTTGGGAGATCCTGTGAGGATTCAACAGTGGAATATCAATGGATTGCCGCGAGATGCCTTCTCCATTGATAACAGTGTTATTGTCGCCATGGCTAGACGATGGTAAGTTGAGCAGTATCATGATTTTAATCAGCAATCTAGGCTACCGAGCTGTCCCTTTTTAGTAATCAGTGACACAGGGAATTCAATTTATTCATCTAGTCTTGACTGTCTGAGTGACCTACTGACTTTCCGAAGGGTTGAGCGATTATTGGATTGAGTTATTGGTTGATCCATTGATTTGTCCATAGCCTAACTGATTGATTTGGTTGAGTCGTTCTTTGAAAATAATGTAAGTTAATCACACTACTGATGAGCCGCTCGTTACCAACCACTGGCCGAAGGGCGCGGGTTCGGAACTCTCCGAGTTTGACTAATATGGTGAAATCTCCACTGAAAAGATTTAATGGCTGAATGTCCAGGATGATTTGACCTTGCAGTGGTTAAAGATGTCCAAATTCTCAAAACCCTGTTAATGTGTTCCACCACTTCAGGCCCCTCATGATCGACCCGCAAGGTCAGGCAAACAAGTGGATAAAGAACATGGAGAAGGAGGCCGGTATCACCGTGGTGAAACTGACCGACAGCGATTTCATGCGCAACCTGGAAAACGGAATTCAGTTCGGAACTCCGGTGCTGTTGGAGAACGTTGGAGAAGATTTGGATCCCAGTTTAGAACCTCTACTTTTGAAGCAAACATTCAAGCAAAGTAAGGAAACGCGACCCCTAAAATCCATGAGTGGTGCAATGATGAGGAAGTGTTACAAACAATTTCCTTCATTTGTTTGAGCCTATCTTATTATACAAAATTCACAGAAACTAAAGCATTGATTTAGCACCTTGAGAAGATACATGGGCAATCGAAGTCTCACTGGTGGCCTTGAAGTTGATATGTTTATGTCTACTCTGACCACCAAATCCAACATTCATTTCAGGTGGTGTCGAAATGATCCGCTTGGGTGAGAATGTCATTGAATACTCCAGAGACTTTCGATTGTACATCACAACCAAACTACGCAATCCACACTACCTGCCCGAAGTGGCAGTGAAGGTGTCCCTGTTGAACTTTATGATTACACTAGAAGGTTTGGAAGATCAACTGTTAGGAATTGTGGTTGCTAAAGAAAAGTGAGTGCATTTGTTGTCCTGATGAATATCAATCGTTTACCTTTATCCGAAAATATTTTAGCTGCGTCCATGCGAACCACCAGGTTATTTTTGGGACCTTGGTGCAGTTTGTGCGCCTTCATGGCTGAAGCGGTCGGTCATACCTACACATGGCCGTTAGCGGATATACCAACGAAACAATGAAGTTTTAGATCCTTCAACCGATGGGGAAACTCACACGTTGGGTGATCAGACGGCCTTGTCCATACAACCGTGTGCCAGTTCCAGAGATCTAAAATCGGCTGCTTATTCACCTTAGGTTTTAGACATCGCTTTCTGAAACTTGTACAGTCTATACTGAGAAACCAAAAAACACTAGTTTTTCCATCCTCAATGGACCTACATGTAGCTGATGCGTATGATAGATACATACAGTTTAGCCCAATAAATTACAGCCCAAGCTGGACTATAGGTTGGTGCAGTTTTTGGATGGACTGCACACCTAATGAAAGGTGGTATCGGATCAAAGATCACATTATGCGTTCTGAATCTTCCTGGGTCGTGCCTGCAGGCCCCGAGTCACGTGTACAGTGAAATGCCAAACTGTGTAACTTGACTTATGAACCTGCGAGTTGTAGGATATCCATTGATCGAATTCCAGTTTAAACGTTAGAAAATAGGTTTACGAACACCCTTTGACTTTCATCGATCAACCAGAAAGACGTGCTGATTTCTCGTTCATTTGTTTTCTTTGTCACCGTGAATAGACCGGAACTAGAAGAGGCCAGACAAGAACTAATCGTCACAACCGCCAACAACCGACGTATGCTGAAAGAAACAGAAGATCGAATATTGGCCACCTTATCCGAGTCAGAAGGAAACATCCTGGAGAATGAAACTGCTATTGAAATCCTCGACTCATCCAAACAGTTATCTGATGACATTCAGAAGAAACAGAAGGTAAATCAAACAAGCTCCGCATATCGGGACAGATGGGATGTTCAGCTAGCTACATACTCCGACGAGTAATTAGAAATGGGTCCTTTGTCTCGCATAGGCAAACCCGGGCAGTCAGTTCTGATGTCAGTTCTCACTAATGACTCGCTTCTGTTATCCTGTCAAAATTCAAACTAATGGTGCGCCAAGTCAAACTACAATGCAATTTTTGTACACTCTTCGAACTACAGTACTTCGTGTGAGTAATAGGATTGAGAATCAGCATTCCGGTGTTGACTCCCCGAATTGTTTAGTTCTCAGTCACAGCCAATGTATTAGGAACACTAATTTCACAATTTCAGTTTTATCAGCCCGTTACCACATTAATAGATATTGGAAAGGAAGGGGATCTGTATATGAAAGCGCTGTTCTTGATAGTCCTGTCTTCCGCAAAGACACTCTATTTTCTGCGAATTCACCACGTCGTGAAATCATCAAATTTGCATTTTTTATCTGGAAGCTCCTTCTATGTGAGGAGTGATCAGTTGCGAGCTTCTTTTACCCGATCGTCCTATAGATCCCAGATGTCATCACTGTTCAGGCAGCTGCTCCGTATGATCTTCTAACACGTGCTTTATCTACGCATAAAATGTCGCAATTGCGATGCATGCCAATCACCGCTCGAGTAACACCGCGAATTAGAGCAGTCAGATTATCAGATCAGACTTTGAGTTAATCCCAGTAAAAGGGCTACCTAGCTGGTTCGTTCAACTGAAAGTTCCGGTGTAGCTTGACTATTCGGTTCGGTTTTCACAAGACCGTCTTCTTGAAACCTTTCTTCGTGCACTTTCACGAGGATGACATGCCATGGCACGCGATCAGCTGGCTATGTCTCACATCCCTCGTCTTGGATCTTTTCCAGATAAGCCCCGCCGAAAAATTAAACACCGCCACCCAAAAAAGATTAGAAAAAAGAGGATAGGAAATTTGTACTTTTAGTTTTTATTGAAGAGAGTGAATTTGGGACATGTTATTAATAATTTGCATACTAGCGTTTCATCGAACTTGACGTGCAGACATGGTCTACCGACAACTGTTGAAGTCTGCAAGAGCCGCGAGGCGTAAACTTAGCGAAGAAAGTTCTTCCGGTCAACAGCGGCCGTGTGACTAATAGATAAATCCTCTGAGCAGAATTTAATTTTTGCCAAATTTTTGGACCAGCAAAAAAGGAATAGAATTACTGTCCGAAACTCCGTCCTAGACCACTCCAGCCAAGTTCCCTTTCGAAGACCGATTTCTTGCCGACACTGTCGGGCATTACACCTCCACCTGTCAGAAACAGTTGAAAGTGTCATTTGGCGGCCATTGTTGCATAACCGTTGCTGATAGAGACATGTGAACTTGAAGGAGCACCCAAATCAATAGCAACGCTAGCCAAGCTGCCTAGATATCTTAGTTCAGCTTGTACTGTTTCTAGGATGATCAACAAACACAGTTTTTAGTCTAAACGGTCAACTGGAAGCACTGATTTGGACCACATCAGTCAGGTGTTTTACCGCGAAATGACCTCGAGTAGATTTAGGCAACACAGGAAGAAGGAGTGGGACAAACAAGCTTGGAACGATGGGCTATGGTACGTGATGGATGCGCCTAGAAGACCCATAATGTGAAAGTATGATTTGTCTGACAAGACATGGTGGCGAACCACAGTAAATAAGCATCTGTTCGGGAGCCAGATGACCTATGTGCGTTTTGTCTGGTGAGTAGTGTACGGCGAAGTCTACAAAAACGGAACTATATGTTGACAAATACTCTCATTTGCACACAAATTTGGTTTTGACAGGAGGCTAAGCTGAATCTAGCCGAATCTCTCGTTTATGCTAGTCCGCTTCCACTGAATGTGTGAAAAATTGGTCGACTCTTATTCGTTCAAGTAGAACATAGAGTCCAGGGGAACTCGGGGACTGCGTCTACTTGATGACTCCCAAAAAGGGTGAAACCGGTTGTGGGCTGTCATAGAGCTTTTAGCAAACTTATAAGTAGTGCGTCAACTTTGGAACTAGATGATAATCCCCTAAGGCTGAAAAGTTTTCCCTCGGTTGGGTTCTGTCAGGGGCACTGTGAGTTCTGTTGGCTGTCACTTGCACTTCTATGGAAATTGTGTCAACGGGGTACTGACGGACGTTTTAGCGACCGTTTCTGATCATTGTTTATACATTTTATGGCCATCAAATCCGGGGATCTTTTCCAGATAAGACCCGCCTGAAAATTAACCCCCCACCCACCCAAAAAAAGACTAGAAAACAGAGGATATGAAATTTGTACTTTTAGTTTTTCTTGAACACAGTGAAATCGGGACATTAAAAGGTCCGTTTTTCGGTACCTTTGCTTCCAAAAGAACTCACACAGGTAGCTGACCACTAAAGATTGGTGTGTGCCGCATTGCGGTTTATTCTGCATCTTGTAGACTTGCCAAAGAGATTCGGTTGTCTGTGTGTGAGCTCCAATCGTTGGATCCACAGAGTTTTCGGTATGATTAACCGTTTCATGAGTATAATTCATGTCAGTCATCTTTTCAATTCCTTGGCATGATGCCCACATATCGGAAATGATGACTGAGCCGGGAGCGATGCAGGCCAGGATTGTTTGTATCCATCAAAGTGGCCGCAGCTGGATCTGGCACTGCATACATGAACACCTCTTTAGTTTCCCATCAGATCCCTCCGAAATTCACTGCTGGAGAGATATTTCCTCGATATATTTTTGGACTAGCAATAAATGAATGGAATTACTGTCCTAAACTCCATCCTAGACCGCTCCAGCCAAGTTTCCATTCGAAGACCGATTTCTTGCCGGCACTGTCGGGCATTACACATCCATCTGTCATGAACAGTTGAAAGTACCATTGGTGGTCACTGTTCCACAAACGCTGCTGATGGATCACTCCGTGGTTTTGCAAAAAACGTATTGCCGTCTCCTTGTCACGAACGAGAGTTGAAGGGGTCAGAAAGTTCATTTAAGGTTTTACGTCCTAACGGGGAAAATTTTTGCACAAAATGAGCCTGGTGCGGATAAGGAATTGTTTTCATCAAAAATAGGTCAAGGTTGTGTGCATACATTAATTTGCAGATGGCAAAAAGTGGCGGGGCTTGACTTTCCGCACATGCATTTTTGCATTGGTGGCGGGGCTTATCTGCAAAAGATCCCTCCTCTTTCCGGTTATTATTGTGCTACCCGTCAAGCAGGATGTATTTTCAGCTCTCATAGCCACTGCACAATCGCAACTGACTCCAATTCATGACTGGAGAATTCTATGCGGCCATTATTCGTGTCCGTTCATTAGAACAGTTCGACCATCATCGTCGTCATCGTCACCACCAACAGGAGTGTTTTCTTCCACCTGCAGACAATGCTGTTTATTCTATGAGTGTGGTCGTACTTGGGAGTTTGGTGGTACCTGATTAGTTGTCAGACGCGGCTAACTGTTTGACGTACTCGGTGAACAAATATGTGACATTTGATAATTGCTAATAGTTGTCGTGGACGCATTAACTCCCTTTATAAGAGGTTATTTAATATAGCATTCCCTGTTTTTTACAGTGGTTTGCAACGAGAAACCTGGAATTCAAGCGTTTTCATATCGTTTCGACAAACTGATTAGTTGTACTTCAGCGAGACCGGTAACAAATGCGGTTGTGTACCTGACCCTAGTTTCAGTAAATGTGCATTTCCATCCCATACGATTAGTTTGACGGCAAAAAGCAAACATGAAGGTTCGAATGACCGCTGATAGTCTCAAGAGTTATGATCAGGCTTCGCTGCTCCATTCGCCAACTGCAAACAGGTCCGGGTGTTGGCGTATATCACCGCAAATTCATTTGTTTAATTATTTCAGGCAGCAACCGGGTACATAGTGTCCAAAAATTCCTGTACACTAATTCTATCGACTTATTGTCCTCCAATTTGAATGCTATCCGAGACTAACTAATCACATCACAGTTTGTTGCCACTCAAGTCTGGCCCTGTGACATCTACTATGTGTGGAGTGGCTACCCGAAGACTGTTACGTTAGACAAGCCAACCACTTTCGCCCATTAAGCGTGTGCGTTTCACTCTACGTGGCTAACCACTTCGATCGATTTTTCCGTTTGTACAAGCTAGCTCGTTACGCTACCTGTCTCGGTTGTCTAGTCATTTGATAGGAGACATTCCCTTCAGCTCATTGCGCACCCTTTACAGAAAATTTACTCATCCCACACCACCTCAATCTTCATTCCAGTTAGTTTTTTCACCGTTCGGCAGAGTGCAAGTACAGTTCCCTACCCTCCGTTACCTGTCTCAGTACGCAGAGTGGTCTGTCCGAACGCTAAGACCCCTATTAAGGCACTGTGACCTAGTTCGACGTTCGGCTGGAGGTCACCCGAACGGTAGATCGATCAGCTGTCTGACGAAGCGTACCGTTAGTTTCCTGAATCCCAATGTGGGAATGCTTCACCGTGCTGATAACAGGTATTGTGTGAGAACCCTGCAATTGAAAGGACCAATAAAACCATAGAGTGCTTATGATCATTTTCTTGGTTAGGTACCACTAGTAGAGTGGTTGAAACTAGCGATTCAGCTTGGATTCAGTTGAATCATCCGTTAGAACCAAATTGGTCCGCTGAAAGAATAGTTGTAAGTCTCAAACTTGTACGGACCTCGTACCAAGACCCAGCCCTCTAAACGGTACTCAACTGAGTGGTAGGAGAGGTCCTCTTCATCAGTCCTGTTGCTAAACAAACCGTCTGTTTTGCCACACTTATTCATTGTCCCATGAAAATTGTGCGTTTCAGGTGGCAGAAGAAACACAAAAGAAGATTGACAGTACCCGGATGGACTACGCACCAATTGCCAAGCATTCAGCTGTGCTGTTCTTCTCCATAACAGATTTGCCGAATATTGACCCCATGTATCAGTATTCTCTAACATGGTTTGTCAATCTGTTTATCAACTCTATTCACGACAGGTTAGTCAGTGTTGATCATTTCATGTTGATTATCACTCTTTAGAAATGGCCATTGTTATACCAACCGATTAGCCACATTTTAGTAGCCTCTACTGTGCTTCTATCCCAGAGCCATAAGTTTTTTTTGTCTGTGTGATACTCTGTAGGCAGAATTTGACACACCTAATGCAAACAGCTTATCAGCGAATGAGAACAGCATCAGAAACAACGCAACTACAAAAGGAAATGACTTCGTCAGGAAGTCTTCCACTGAATAGGCTGAATGTGTCAGATATGGATAATGCTCTAATTGTAAACTGAGGATTATGTTGCTCTCAACTTTTCGTTGAAATATGGTCGGTCTTCCTGTCTGTTCTATCCAGAGGTCCATCTCTCCCAGCTCCTGTTTTGGGGTAGCTATTTTGTTTGTTTGTTCATCTGTTTTATTTCTGCTAGCCATTTTCACCCTTCGCCCTTTTCTGTATCAAGCGAGATATCGAACACATCGTTCCATCGGCGAAAATTTGACTGCCGTGGGCTCGGTTGCTGACGTCACACCAGTGCCTACGCGCTCACACGCCACGTACTCAGACAAGCGTAGTTAGCGTTTCTAAGACCCGTACGCAGACCCGTTCCGATTCGGCGGATGAAAGAGTGTCAGCCTTGTCTTCAGGTACTTGCGTTGCCGTCATAGGCCTAGCAACCGGATGTCACCTCACTGGTATGACCTCGATAGCGAAGTCACTGCCGCGTTCTCGAGCGATTGGCTTGGGAACGCCACAGGACTTGCAGGCAAAACACTGAGCAGCATCGAATACTGTTTGCCCTACCGTCGGATGAGTCACCGAGTCGAATATTCAATGGAGGCGTAACCCGTACTCGAAATGGCTGTGTGGGTGTGCACACTCCATCCTGATTCGGCTAGTTTGTACCAATCACCACGCCGTACCAACTAGTTTACTTTCGGTGGGATGCGTTTTCGGAATCCCAGGGCAGTCTGAATTGGTGTGTAACGAATGGGCAGCTGCCCATGTGGAGTTGAGCAAATATGAACAGCGCAAATGAATCATTTTCCACCGTTCCCTACGACTGTCACCTACCGAGCAGAGAAAAAGGCTATGGTATTTTTCAAGGCGAAAAACAGGTTTAATGTAGATTCAGTGGATTGGGAGAGAAACGCAACGTGCCTAGGATCGTTGTAGGTGTTCGGAGGTTCAGCTTTATGAAGAAAATAATAACTAAAGTGTTTGCCATTGGCCATTGAAATGACTCAAGTGGTTATAGCGCGAATTTGCTTACTAGAAGGTCCATGGTTCGAACCCGACCTCTGCCTCTCGAATTGCCCTGTCTAGGCTTGGGCGACCTGGATGTATCCCAGCCCTCGTGCTTCCTTCTGGCAACATGACAGCCAGACACCGAAAGGATGTTACAGCTAAACGATTTCTCTGTGGTGTAGTAGGATAAAACAACTAGTTTGCAAACACAAAAGCTGTTCCAACGGAAATACCGCTTATGTTTTGTGCATCATTTTCGCCGGGGTGACATCCAGGCATCCAGACCACTGTTGTCATCATTACATATGTGAAGTGTGTTGACCGTATTTAAACGAAAACTATTCTAAATATATATGATCGACTATAGCAAATTAAGCATTTGACGGCAAATGTTTTGGCAAACCCCCGTGGCTCTCCGTCCGCCAAACTTGGTCCAATAAATCTGATGTACTGAGTGACAAAATTGTATGAATTACCCTTGATTGGTCGTAAAAAGTATTCAGTCTCAGATTTACTGCTTGATTAGTTCAAGTTGCTGCAACCTAGCCAGTTGCAGATAATTTAATTTGCCTATTTGAGTGTCGCGCGTTACTTAGTACTTTCTCTATGGGAAACTTCTACTTAAGTCAAATTCGATCGCATGGTCGTGGTCAGATCGGTTGTTTACCGACCACTTCGTTCTAACTTAATTGTGCCATCCACTGTGTCGATAACATGCGGGAGAAATTAGGCGCATCCACAGGACTGCGGAATACTGACAGTCAAAATGTGGTTTTTCAGGGTCCTGGGACTGGATGTGAAAACTACATGGGAATAGGTTGACTGGTCTTAACGTATAACTGCAGCAGAACAGCCATACACCCTGTTTATTCCATAACTCGTTGGTATTGTGAAGAGACTTGTGAATTTTCAATTCAGATTTCGTCCTGTAAGCGAGGTGCACCCTGAAAAACTGAGAAGCTCTGTACAATTCTTTCATCCTTACTGGGAATCAAGACTCTCCTCAGGCGGACAAGAGTCTATAACTAACTCTGAGGAAAAGTGAAAACCACCCGATGAGCCAAACTTTTGTCTGAGCAGTCGTCACTCGAGGAGCCAGTCAACACGTGATCATATGAGGCGGTTTCTGCGATTGATTGATGAGTGGCGCAATATCTTGCCTACGTGCGAGTTAATCACACTGTTGATCAGTCGCTCGTGACCGACTTAGGTCCTAATTCGTTGGACGAGACTGTAACTACATGTGCCTAGGTGCCCGGCGTAGAGCGCAAGAAGCGAAGCAGAGGAGAGAAGAACAGACATTGACAAAATAAGACTCTATTGTTCAGTCTCTGGGTTTGTGTTGTTGGTTGGAGTTCTGGTTGGAGTATGTCGTCCAATTATGGACACTTGATGAACCCGGGTGCAAGATTTGCATGCGTTTTATTCTGACGTTGGAACCAACTCGTTTGAAATGTGTCCTTACAGTGTATTTTATCGTCATGGTACTGAGCAAACCGAACGACTTATACGTTGGCAAAACAGATTAGTTGGTCGCCACATCAGAATTCGACTGAATTGTCTATGATCGACTGACTGTATAATAAAGTTCATGGAGTACGGCTGGCAATATTGCCAGTCCTCAGCGGCCTTCATTTGTCCAGCAGTGGAAATCTGCGGATTTTTTAGAAGAAATTTAAGTCTGTAAAGATGTTCATACGTAATGTGGTTGAGTCGGGGCGAGAAGCTTTAGCATTCGCAATGTGTCTGAATAATGATTGTTCGGGTAGCTTAACTGGCCCACCCAAACGCGCACTGACGATATCCCTTCACACGGTGACGAAACCTTTGCAAGCTAAATGCCAAGCTTGACGGACAGATCAAGTGCCACCTGATCAGCAGCCAAGCTTTAGCAGTCTCCAACAATCCCCATCTGGAAATGTTATATTGAACGTGAGGGGCATGGTCATCCATTCTTGAACCTCGGGCATTCCCCCTACTGTTTTAGCTTCGAAGACCATTGTGGTCAAAGTCGACACGCACATGAGATGTTGCCCACTTATGTGTCGAGCGTGAGATCCAACACAAACATGGACGGTTATAAATGTAGTACGGCCTTATCCACTGATCCTGGGCACAAACCACGAGGGTTGCTGGGGTTGTTGAAAGCATAATTTGAAGAATAAAGTTGTTTAGAACTGTTTGTGAAAGTGATATGATCAATATGACTAGATATTAGTAGAAATTCGTCAAAACAAGTGATCTTCTGGTTTTATCGACGTTTGTCAAAGTATTGCTGTATTGTACGAGTGTGTAAGGAGCTTCGGGCTGGTTCAAGTAGATTGAGCAAACCTTATTTTGTGCGTGCAGTTACACTGTACCTCTGTGCTGAGAGCTACACCATGGTAGAATCGTACGTACTTGCTTTCGGCTCTAGTCTATCAGTGGTTTTAGATGGTTTTTGATCTTCCTTTTCTTCTCTACAGCAACAAATCAAAAATAATCGAAAAGCGAATTCGCTACCTGATTGACCACTTCACCTACAGTCTCTACGTGAACGTCTGTCGTTCGTTGTTCGAAGCTCACAAGTTGTTATTTTCCCTGGTGCTGTGTGCTAAACTCCTGATGTGAGTCACCTCTACGTCTGCGCATTCTCACTTGCTTAGTTATATTTCCACTCTACCCTTAATTCGTCACATTAAGCGATTCGAATTAGCAGCAGTGCATCAATGAAGGAAGAGTAACCTCACGAGCATTGTCGCCCACAGCCGATTTCTTTCATACATTCAAGTCTAAATAACGTAATGCAGTATCACAGCACTGCTCTGTCAAACAACGACTCTATTCGTTTAACAGTCTGAAGCAGAACGAAGCGGTACTGCTTGAGTTTCGGGGTGGTTTAACTTCCATTGACTAGATCATGGTTGAATAAGACTGAGAGCAATGATAGAGCCATGAAGACTGGAATTCGTGTGATGAGGTGAATCTTGCGTGGTGAAAAGAACAGATAATTATGAAGGAAGTATACAGAAAGAGCTTAGAAAGAACACATTGCCTTCTTCTCCCAATAGCTGTTCATCAGGTTTGTTTGAAAGAATACCTCGTAATTGACACTTCACAACAGTAAAGGTGACAAAAATGCACTGTTTTGCGAAACGCCTGGTGCAATCTTTCCTCAGGGGGAAGTCAGCCCTGCAAAAACAACATGGAAGAATGAGGACAGGTTTAATGGAGTAAAAAATGCCTGCACTGAGTGAATTCCCCCAGACCTCTGTCGGTATACTGTAATTGAGATACAGATCGGAGGCTAGCTCATCAAAAAGCGGTCGGTTGGTGACGGACAGGACGATAACTTGATTTCCGTTCGTATGAACTATTCGTTTGTACGCTGGCTGAGGTGTTATTTCAAGGTCCCATGGTCTAATTTCTTCCCAGAAGTTGACTTTAAGGGAGTTTCGATTAAAAACTATTCGGTCCTCATGAACAGCTGAACTCCATTCAAATTCTAGTTGATGGGATTTTCCCGTAAGATCCAGTAGTTCACACCTTGTTTTGTTATTGATGTCCGTTCCACTAAGGTATCATGATGCCAAAGTGTATCAACTTTTCAACTATTCGTTCCACTTACTCCATTGCTTATTTATATGTATCCAGGTCGAGAGGAGAGCTAGAAATGAGTGAATTCCTCTTCTTCCTTACCGGTGGTGTTGGCTTGGAGAATAAACTGGCCAATCCGGCCAGCAACTGGTTATCAGACAAAAGTTGGGATGAGATCTGTCGTCTTAGTTCATTGAAGAGCTTCAAAGGATTCCGTGAACACTTCGAGACCCATTTGACGGAGTGGAAGCGTTACTATGACAGCAAAGATCCACACGAGACTCCATTGCCTCCACCCTGGGACAAGGTCGACGTTTTCCGTGCGTTAATCGTTCTACGGTGCATCCGCCCCGATAAGGTGAGCTAGTTAGATTTCTCTGCCAGTGAACACACAACTAAGAAATGCGTTCCTCTTGTTTCGGGTTGAACAAGTAGTTTTTGAAAATGGCCGCTGCGCTTAGCGTAGAAAAAAGTACGTTCAGCTGCCCAATACATGAGGCTTTGCAGTTCGAAAGATGGATAGACCGCTTGATAAAACAGCTAGGTTGCCATCAAGCTTTCCACAGGATACGGAGGGTGGGACTCAAGTTCATATCGCGGATGCCTGTTGATATCTTTCTCTCTAGCTATTGTCTCAGCACTAAATAATTTGAATGTACAAATAACAGCGCGCAGATCTGAGTTTGTCCCATAGTGGAACACAAAAGAGGCGCCAAACTAATATATGACTCTCATATAAACCTTAAATTTATATATGGGTATGAAATTATTAACTCCTGTTTACCAGAAACCAATAGACACTGGGGTGGCAAAGTCGTCACCACATCTAAAGGCAGTGCGCACTAACATAGTATCACTAATGTTTAGTCGAGCGTGAGCGCTGTACATAGTGGAGGTCACTCGGAGAGCAGCACAAACTGATATTTAAAAAAGGTGACTTTAGGACAGCGGATACCTATTTGATTTAATTAGGCGGCGACCAGGACGGCTATTGGCCGGAATACAAACCCGACAGAAAGTGGGTCGGAACAGCAGTCACCCCATGCAAAAAGGGACGTCTGATTTCACTAGAAGGGTGCTGATTAAGGATAACGTCGGAGTGGCATTCCAGAAGAGGACAAATTTAGGCAATTGTAGGATGAGATCCCGCCTGGTAGAACTAGGGACTGTGTGACACAAAATAAGATGTAACGATTGCACAAAGGTCTAAATGGATCGGACAGCAAGGGAGCTACACACCGGAATCGGCGAGCATAGGCGGTGCACTAGTGTGCCACTACGAAACAGATGAATATTAGGCAACAGTTAAAGGCCCCACAAATGCAGGGCACACGCTAAACAATGGACTTGGAAAATGTGAAATTTTCAGAAAAATGACTCCACAGGGTCTGGTGGCCGGGGCGGTGGAATTCGCCAAACACTCCAGTGTGAGTAGAACAGAGGACTCAGAACGGGCAAGTACCTGGAGAACGGTTTTTTTATCAGCTAATTTGACACGTGGAGGAGTGAGTTCATCAATAAAATAGTCTGACTATAAAGTATAGAACCAAAGCAGACCAAGATCTACTTCATCATCCCAACCCAATTCCAGTTATCCTAGCACGCTTTAACACTGATCAACAAAATCTGTGAACGATTCCGAGAAGAATGTTCCATTGGAGTACTCTGAGCCGGAGGTGCAAGTCCCCAAATCCGGATGACGATAATTCCTCCCAAACCATCGGTCGTAAATGTTAGTTATCCACACTAACTGACAAATAAGGACTTCCGACTAACTGACTTTCAGCACTGATCAAGTCGGATGTGCAAAATCTTACTGATCAGTTCTCTTTCTTCCTTAAAACTCACTTATCCGAAGCGAAAGCTTGTTCAGCAGTGAGTCCACCGACTATTTGCCCAACCGAACAGAAAGCCGGTAGCCTTCTTATTACATTTACCAAGGGATGTGTAATTAACAGCCCTCCAAACTTCCAATGGCGAAACTGATATTGCCAACATATTTGTTTTATGATACCAGTCTGAAGGCGAATTCGTTGATGTTGATATCTCTGTTTGTCAAGCCTTTACTTGCAAAACACAAGCGAGCATAACACCTCTACCTTATAAATGGAACTGTGAGGACCCATTGCTCCCACTGGGACCGTGTTACCTTGTTTAAGTTTTAATTATCCTGCAACTTCTAACTGGAGGCCCTCCATGAAGTAATGAGACGAGTACCGGAAACGGGTCACTGTTGTCGCACCAAAGCGGCTCTTCCAACTGCAACCTTAATGTTCATGGAATGACGATCGACACTGTAATACGGTAAGCTACACCTCTTTAGTAGCTGATACTCACGACTTATAAAGCTGATTTATTTAAACAGTAACCGGGTTAGTAATTAAGCTTTTCATTAACCAAAGACCTTTTTTGTGTGCATTTTTGCCTGTTCTATTGCATTTTTTGGAAATTTGTTCATAGGTCGTTCCTGGGGTGCTAAATTACGTTCGCGAAAAGTTGGGACGCAAGTTCATTGAGCCTCCTCCGTTCGACTTGGCGCGTACGTACCAGGATTCGAGCTGTACGACTCCGTTGCTGTTCATTTTGTCACCTGGTGCAGATCCGACTATGGCTTTGCTCAAATTCGCTACAGACAAGGGTTTCGGTGGTGCCCGTTTCCAGTCCATCAGCCTTGGACAAGGTCAAGGTCCGATTGCAGCCAACATGATTGCTCAGGGAAAAGCAGATGGCTCGTGGGTGCTCTTACAAAACTGCCATCTAGCCGTGAGTTGGATGCCTGCTTTGGAGAAGATTTGCGAAGATCTGACAATTGAGAATACGAACGGGACTTTCCGACTCTGGTTGACAAGTTACCCCTCACCGAAGGTTAGTTTACAAGCAATCTGAGTATCAGTGGACTTACTGTGTATAGGTTTGCTCCTAGTGTTTTTGTATGTTCCCAAATATCCACACCATTTTTATTCCTTATGTAGTTTCCGGTCACGGTGCTACAAAACGGAGTGAAGATGACCAATGAACCACCCACAGGACTCAGGCAAAACTTACTCCAGTCCTATTTGAATGATCCAATTTCTGACCCGGAATTTTTCGGAGGTTGCGATGGTAAACAGGAAGTGAGTATAATTGTTGTTTCTGCATCTGTACCCACCGACTGAAGATTTCTGGTCGGTTCTGTCAACTCACTTATAAAATGCCATCCCACAAAACCGATTCTGCATCAACCCTGTTAATCCTGCTTCTGAAAATGAACGCGATTTTATCAGAATACGTAGTTGACCACAGTATCAACATGTTGTCTCATTGGGTAGTTCTAGCTGAACCCTAATTGCAGTAGAATCGATTTTTATACGGTTCACTTTCCGATTTTACCTCTTTTGGAAAGAGACCTAACATATAAGACAGCAGAGGAACACGGACTGTATTAGTATGAAACGTGATTCGGACCTACACGGGTTGGTCTGCAAGCGACTAATGTGTTCGTTTTCAATTAAATCAAAACAAAACTGAAATTTCCGGTCGCATCATTTTCAAATTATTGATATTTTATTTGTTAACATGACATGCTGAATGAATGCTTAGTTGAAACGACTGATCACCAAGGTGGCGGGGCACGGCACGATACGACACACAAAGAGGGTCAAAGCACTTTTCAGATCTGATCCTCAGTCTTTTCGAAGCACAAATAAGAGAATGAAGGTGTTGGAACTCTTGATCAGGCGCAAACCAAGTCTTATGGAAAACGAAAATACAAACGATAGTTTCGGGTTTGGATGTTGACGGCCACCCCGTTAATTTTTGTTATTTCATAAAGGGAAAGGATATACAATCATTATTTCCACTCCGTGACTGCTACTGAAAGTGCATGTGGCCCGAAAGAGATTAGGCCAAGAACTGACTGCATGATAATACACTTCTGTGAAGCAGTCCAGCTTTAGCCAGTGTCATCAACTGCAGACTATCGCAACTCAAAAACGTCACTTCTAATCTCCTTTTCATTGGTTTTCCTCAATCTACTCGTAGACCTTCGAGAAACTGCTTTACGGATTGTGCTTCTTCCATGCTCTTGTGCAAGAACGGCGTAAATTTGGTCCTCTTGGCTGGAACATACCATACGGTTTCAACGAATCCGATTTGCGTATATCTGTACGACAGCTGCAAATGTTTGTCAACGAATATGACAAGGTGAGTAAGACCCGTCGCTGATATGTTCCCGTGACAGATCTGGTGTTCGTGGTCGTATCAGTCCTAACTACACTTGAGTTTACTTAGGTGAAGGGTAACTAATGAGTGCAGTATTGGCGGTAAGTTGAGATGTCTTATGTTTCTATGGCGAAGTCCGAGAGTTCGAGCCTGAATGTATATGCNATATATATGCATATGTATATGTATATATGTATATGTATATTCAAAAGCCACCAAATGTGATTGGTGAAGCCCTCCGTAGAATAGAACACCTGCCACAAATATCCAGCCACAAATAAAATTATTAGTATAACATCAAATTCGCTCCAATTACCGGGTGCACCCGGTAAAATATTGTTATTTTCTTGGGATCCCGAATCCAGAACTAATGGGAGCAATTTCGACGAATGAATAGACCGTATTGAACACACATTATTCCTGCAACCTTAAAGCCATTGTCTTTCTCCTACTTGGATAGAAGTGTTCTTCAAAAACCAGAATTTCATGCTACATAAAGCGTCGTCAGTGCCGTCTGACATTTACTTCATATAGTTGTGTTGTTTGAAATAACAAACGAGCAATCCATTCCAAGTTGATCCTACACATTCACCCAAGAATTTCTCCCAAGGCAAGGAAGCGGCTAGATTAGTGATCTATTCATCAGACTTTGTGCATGGTACATGAACTGGTCACGTCTTTCGAGTACCCGTTTATGTCCAATCTTGCCGTTTAGCCTGTGTCGCAGTATTTTCCACGAATGTCGAAGTGAATTTCGCCACGACGTAGTGACTCAGTTGATTTCACTGCCTAGCAAGTGTACCGGAGTTCGAAACACCCCCACCGCCAGCCCCATCACCATCTCCGTCACATCCGATGGATGCTCCGTTTGTGCCTGTCTCGTACGTTCGAGAGGGGCTTGCACAACGACAAGAAGGCCCGAAAATACGGTTCACAGAACTTGTTTTCGCCATCCCGCTTGGCAGTGAGGACACTTCAACCACAATACACGTCACACAAGTAGTGATTTCTGCCAGGCCTTTGTTCACAAGATGGTCTTATCTACGTGACTCGGTTGCATCTTGTGTACCGTTCAGTTAGAATGAGTTTTGAGAATACAACTCTGGTTTGCACGCTCATTCACTCGCTGCATATGTGACCCCCCACTGCGGTTGAAAAGACCTTGGAAATGGTACCGACACACAGTATTTTCTTTGCTACCTCTGTCCACGACTGAATCAGAGAACCGATATCGCACTGTCATGCCTTCTAGGCATGGGTTATTTTTACCCGTGAATAATAGCGAGTACCATACTTCAGTCTAACCAAACAACTAATATTTTGTTCGGATATGGGGCATAGCATGTCAGCGAATGACAGTAGGAATGCCGTAATAAGAACAA